ACATAAGGTGGCCAACAGTTGCAGACGTGTTAAAACAGCCCACAAAACTTCCATTAGGAGAAGCAGTGATGCACACAGCTGGGACCGGAGAGCTTGTGACGAACAGGGATTATAAAGTTGTCACTGGAAACATACCTAAAATGTCATTTGGATTGTCTTATTTTAACAATGTGATCGCATTCTTTTAAAGCAGATTGCAGATAGCTAACGAAGCCAACCTAGTCATTTGAAGTATTCTGACAAACACTTACAACTTACAAACAACAGTGGCAGTTTCGGTATATTTGTGTTTTTATATTTGCATTGTTGTTGAAAGTGCAGCATGTTTAATGGAAGTGTTTTGGGCCGTTGTAGTGTGTTTGCACCTTTGGACACCGTAGGAACTTGATTTGACACTTTGGCAATATCTTCAATTACATTAACCCTCCTATTGTCTTCGTGTTCCCCCCCTTACTTTGGTGTTTGTGGTCAAATTTGACCGGTCCTGTTTTAACTGCTATTACATTAACACAAAAACCACTAATCATCACCACATTTCATTTAACACCCTTTCAAACTGTAAATATTGTATCAGACTACTGGTATGCATGAAAAACTGCAGTAAATATAAAAGAATAGACACTGAACATGTATTGCGTGTGCAAGGTGTGATCCATGTGGGGGGATTGGGCACATAAGGGGGGGGGGAACACATCTAGAGTGTGTGTGTGTGTGTGTGTGTGTGTGTGTGTGTGTGTGTGTGTGTGTGTGTGTGTGTGTGTGTGTGTGTGTGTGTGTGTGTGTGTGTGTGTGGTATCTGATCTGGATGGTTACTAATTCCTTTTCTTTATGGCGGTCATTTATGACCGGGAACAACATGGGTGTTACAAAGTTGAATAAATCATCCAAAATTCAACGACAGTGGTGATCAGCAATTTTACATGTCAAATGTCTTCTGTGAAGGATATGTGAAGCCTTAATGCAATCGAATGTAAAACAAAAAAGTTGTGATTGATGAAAGTAATAAATCGGATTTGAACCGAAGACAACAGGAGAGTTAAGGCAAAAGAGACAGGTTGAACAGATTCTGCATTTGTGCCAGATACAAAAAAACTAATAATCAGAGATTATAAAAAACAGTTTGACAAAAGGAAAGACAATTACAGGTCTATAGATAGTTGTTCTGGGTAACAAGGAGGACAATGTGATTTTGCACCGGGTTGAAAAAAAAATGAACTGAAATACTTTTTTTTTATCCAACTGGAAATAACTAATAAAGAAGTGATTTATGAATGTAATTTTGGGATATTTGATGTGCTGTAAGCTAGTGCCGGTTGTAGATGAAGAAAAAAAAAGTAGGGCATAATAGAATTCCTTTTACTGGTGGCACAGTTCAGAGAATGCAGAAATGAAGCAATCATTGTGCTCTGCAGCACATCAAATACTTCAAATGTCAGGATGTTCTGCAATCATTTGCTATCCCGAGTTGGTCCATCATTTGCAAAGCATTCAAGCAGTTCTTTGGTCTGCCTTCTATCAGCCACCCTCCTCTGCAATCGCTCTGAAGTAATTCCCCCCCTCCCTCATTTGAGATGAAATAGACGACACAGGGAAGAAGTGCCAATAAAGGAAGGGAAAAGGTGAGAGAGAGGTGGGGAGCGAGAAAGAAGAGTTGTGTTAGAGGGAAACTGGGAGCATTTATGCCTCGCTTCGCTGCATTCAATTACCATAATTCATGCGTTAAAGTTGGCATGGAGAACAGTGCGGGTCAGTCTCGGGGTCAGCACTCTCCAGAGTGTACCATTAGCAGCCTCTACATACACTCACCAATCAATTACACCTCACACAGCATAATGATTGATCATGTCTAAGATGGATAAAAGCTGTGACACCAGGATTAAGCTGGGCCACCTTGTCAACATTTGATAAGATGTCTGAGTTTCTTCTGCCAGGTTTCTGTCAATTAAATACCTCAGAGAGAAAATATAAATTGTTTGGAAGAGATGATGATTCATTAGCAGTCTGTAGTTCCTTCGAAGCAGGTCTGTTTATAAGAATCCAAAGATGTCTGACGGATCAGATTGCTTTGTTCTCCATGAACAGTGAGCAGGCAGCGACAGAATACATGTTCAGGTACACTAACTGACAGCGGTCTCAGTGGAAATGAACACCTCCTGCTTCTCCTGTTGCCCTGTGGCTGCTTTGCAACAGTGATGTCATCCTCATTATGCAAACAGTACCTGACAACTTCCAATGCACGTGTGAGCTCTTCTAACACAATTTGACTGGTGCTTCAGTGAGCAAATTATTAGCTTATGTAATGTTTATCATAATCATGCACACGCCTTCTATCCATCTGTTTACCAATGCTGCATTGATAGGGTTAAGCAGGGTTTAGCTGCTATTTGCATTGTTTGTCAGTGTGCCAGGAGGCAGTTTGTTGCTAGCATCAGGTGTCAAGAGAGTGTGCACGAAAAACCTTCTCCTGACTTTGCCTCCATAGATAGCTACTTACATGATATTAAGTGCGTAGGATATAGGAAATAGGATTTGCCAAAAACTCCAAATCCAACTGCTCTGTATGGAAGTGGCATTTGCTTAGATTTTGTGTAATGATCCGACAGCATCTGCTCTATTTGATGCTGGCGCTTTTATTCTTCTCGTCCACATCTCAAATTGACAGTTTACTGTCCAGACTAAGGGTCTGTCCGATCAATGTCTACTCAGCTGTCGTACAGACTTATTCACGGTGTCTGACAGAGCCTGGATATCCTCGCCTCCTGTCACCGCAACCATTGTCTGTCACTGGCAGCAGTATGATGCAAATACATGTAACATGTTTAGGAAATCTTAGATTCCAAATCCATAGCTTGTGTCCATGTGAACGTAAGCTACACACACACACACACACACACACACACACACACACACACACACACACACACACACACACACACACACACACACACACACACACACAATCATAGCTCTACAAGTTTTACATTATCACTGTTCTTGGAAACATTCATGGCTTTTTTCATCCTCACACTTTTCTCTCTTTCTCTAGTGAGTGTCAATGTGCCCACCCCCTCCCTGCCACCTTCTCTTTCTGCTTTATTACTCCTGGTGCCCCTGGTTGCTGCGGCTGTCGGTGTGTTGCTATGGAGACAGAAACACATTTCTGATCGCGGTAAGTCTTCCGGCGTTTTCTTTTTTTTGACAGCTTTCCGTGTTCCGTCCATCTCTGGCCCCTGTCGGCTGCCACTGAATGATGTGGGCCGTGACATCCTCTGGGGTTGTTGTAATGAATCTGCCCCCACGTCTGCCCTCCATGTACCTCTGAGTGTGAGTGTGTGTGTGTGTGTGTGTGTGTGTGTGTGTGTGTGTGTGTGTGTGTGTGTGTGTGTGTGTGAGACAGAGACTGTAATGGCAACTATCTATCTGCTGTACTCAGGTATTGAGCAGTCTTTGTCTGTCATCTCGCGCGAAACAGAGAACATCTATGAGAATCCTGAGGATATCAGACAGGTGATGGATTCAGACATTTTTAGCAACTAAATATCCTCTGTTGGATGTCAGCCTCATTTTGAGCTCATCTTCCCCTGTCTTACTCCCCCCTGCTGTTATTAATCACTATTTCTCTTCCATTTGTGTTACTCTCACCCTCCCCTTTACCATCTACATTGTATTCTTTAATGTTGTACTTTTCCTCCTCTGTTACCCCTCTGATTTTCATTATCCCCCCTCTCTGTCACTTGTTGTTCATTAAACTTGTTTTCTTTTCTCTCCTACCTTCCCAACAGGCTCCTCCCCAGGGCTCAGTCTACATGGTGAGTTATTGTGTTTTCCCTTGCGCACACACACACATACTGAGGCGTGTTGCATATGTGTGTTTGTGAGAAGTTATTACACACACATCCACCAATGCACACAGACTCACTCTCTCCTCCTCCCTAAGCTGTCAGCAGATATGTCTTCCCTCACACTCTCAGTCTCTTCTCCAATCTGTCAGCCCTCTCTCAGATAAACCCATTGCCTATCAACTGTCACCTTTACATTAGTGGTATTAACAAATCAATCTCATTACACAGGGTACACAGGGACATAAATCTGGCCTCACTACACTGAGTCTCTCTCTTTATCCTCCTCCTCACTGTCCCACTCTCCCTGTCCCCCCTTTTCTGCTTTATGCCAGGATTTGAAGCCAAGAGGAGAGGATGATGTCTACAAGGAACTGGAGCGGTAAGCAAAAAAGCCTTGCATCACCTGTTTGTGCTTTTGTATGTTGAACTGTATAATGTGTTCATGTGTGTGTGCACTGTCACTCACATTCCTCTCACACTCACCAATCACACTGGTCTGAACATCACTCTGACACTGTGGCATAATGTCACGCCATGTGCTGACAGGCAGCGCTCCTTCGCCCCTGCGTTGCTGTTGTTGCGTGGGCTGTTTGTGTTTGTGTTTAAGGAAGAATAAAAGAGACTGGGGGACGGGAGATTTTTTGTGTGAGTTTGTCTTTGTGCTCTGTTTTTCAGATACTAACAGTGTCAGAGCTGATCACCTACCCACATCTCATCCTCATCCAGCTGTCACATCCGCTCAGTTCCCAGCTGCAGCAGAAGGCCTTTATAAACAAAAGTAACTACTGAATGTCAGAGTTGGAATTGGAAGACGAACTTTAAAGCTTTAGGGAAATGTGTGTTTTTTTCTTTATTATTCTAAGCTATTTCTCTTTCGAAGAACTTTTTTACTGATTTGCTTTGTGTGTACATAGAGTAGAAGGGGGAAGATTTTCACATAAGGCTATGAAATGTTTCCCAAATGTGTGGGAATGATTTACTATTGCTACTTATTTAATAAAAAAATGGTTCTGTAAGCCATTGTTCTCCTTTGTATATCTGTATGTAAGAATAGATGCTTCTAAATAAAAATGTCTGCAATGTTGCTTGTCTCCAATTCATTCTTTCAAAAATAATTTCGAAGCGCTTTCGCTTCTGAGACTTGTGGTCACTGCAGGCTTCCGTAGCCCTCCTAGTGGAAGAATGGCTGGCTGGATGTGGCTCCGCTGTGTTTTAGGGCCTCATTTGCAACGAATCCACCGTTCAACGGACCCATCTCGACCTGAAGGCAGAGCTGGGAGGAGGGTAGGGATACCTTTTAATGTTTTGCATTTGTCTGAGAACAGCCGACTGTGAAAACTGAGCAGTATTGGATCTGTTAGCATTGATGTAGCTACGGCTGCGTCCCGGAAGTGTCAGGTGTTTGTTATTGAAACCCCTGCTGTCACTGCACACAGTACAGCCGGGGGGACAGCTTGTTAATGAATGAAATTACATGATATTCTTTATTTTAAATACATATTAATCTTTGTTTCCTCGCCACAGTTATATATAGTCTAGCTGAAGCTTCATAAGCTGATTTCCTCAATGGCATTAACCTGGTTATGCTAATGCTAAGTGTGAAGCAGGTGAGAGGAAACTTTAAAAAAAACGGAATGATAAATGAGGAAAGCTAAGTAAGAATTAACAAATATGTTATACAACTGTAAATACTGTGTGTAGGTAAAATGTCTATCACCATGTCTCTTCAAAAGGCTACAATCAATGCTAATAGCTAGCTCACGTTAGCTCCCTGAAAGGCAACTATGCTTACTACAACATGAGTTAATGTAAACATTTCCCTTATAGTTTTTTTGAATTTACAATACAACACGTGTTGTTTATCTTCTCAGATTGAGATTCAGATTACATTTTATTGTCATTACATAGTACATGTACTAGTGACGAAATGTAAGTTTAGGCATCTGACCAGAAGTGCAAAATAGCAGTGCAGGAGTCTACATAATAAGAATAATTATAAATGGAATTATTTTAAATAGAATAATTATAAATAGGCTATAAACAGATGAATATATACTATAGTGTAAACGGTATTGACAGTAAGAGATATAAACTGGTGGGTATGGGCTTGAGTCTATCAGGGAGCAGAGTTCATCAGGGTAACAGCCCTGGGGAAGAAGCTGACCCTGAACCTGCTGGTCTTGGACCGGAGACTCCTGAGGCGCCTCCCCCGAGGGTAGGAGGACAAACAGATAGTTTGCCGGATGAGAGGTGTCTTTGAAGATGTTGTGCGCCCTCTGCAAACACTGTATCCCCTGGATGTCCCCGATGGCAGGGAGTGGGACACCGATGATGCGTTGGGCGTCACCTTCTGCAATGCCTTCCTGTTGAGCATTGTGCATTTCCCATACCAGGCTGTGATACAGCTGGTCAGGATGCTCTCAATGGTGCAGCGCTAAAAGTTCACCAGAGTCTTTTACTGCTGATATGTCTATCTATACATTTGATGGTTCTATTTCTATATGTTTTTATTTAACTAAACTGTCATTACTATGAATTATAAAAAAGAAGATGGAAAGACATGAGATTGGAGTCATAGTTAGTTCGAAAAAGACAATCTGTTTCTATTAGTGTACATTTCCTCACTTTTGAGCAAATGAAGGACTTCTTATACCGTAGGGAAGAGCAACCTCTGCCCTGAAGGAAGCATCTCAATTGAACTTGTAAAGGTTCAGGGTCCACAACAATAATCTGGATCTTCTGAGATTAACCTCACTTCCTATCGGGTGCTGAAGGTCATTAAGGTTGTATGAGACCAGTTATTTCACAGCACAACTTCCCAATCATTTTCCAGCTTTTCCTATTTTCTACACCAAGACTGCCAAAACATCACACCTTTTGAACCTGAAATGATCAACCGTTAACTTGCCTTTTAGTGTCTGTATTTGCACCCTATTTACAATAACCTTCTGGTCTAGGAGAGTGTCCAAATACATATATATTGCTTGCTTTACTCCAACTAAGTTACCCTCTATCACGAGATGCAGGGGGAAGAAGCTTCTTTTGAAAATGCTTCGTATTAGTAGGAATAATTCTGCATTGGAGTTACAGCATTAGATTTCATTATTACATGCTATACTTAATCCACTTAAATGTCCCCTTAGCCTACGAGAAATGTTAGTTCCTACCTGGCATTGTTTCACAAGAGACAGGTACGAGAGTAACAGAGTCTGAGTAATATTTGCAACAGTAGAGTCTGCTATGAACCAGGAGAGAGTGAACTTGGGTGTGCATGGTCTTGCTGTATTTGTATCAAACGCATGAACAAGTATAGCCTGTTAATTACCAACAAGCAAAAAGGATTGAAGAAAGCTATCAACCAAGAAAGGAGAGTTAAGAAATGAACATTTGTATTCCCTCGCAACAGGGATGGAACTACCAACCAAGGAGTCTGGAGAAACACTCTGACAGCATCCTCAGCTGGGTCAGTATAGCTGCATGATTGATAACAATATATGGAGAAGATTAAGAAGTGTTAATTAAAGCTTGTGTTTTCTCCGTCCAGGCTTCAGCACTGTGGTCTCTGTCCTACTACAGCTCTCCTCTCCTGCTCTGCTATCTGTACAGGAAAGGTAGGCTGTATGAATGATGTCTGGTGGGAAACACAGGGTGACTTTTTACTGCGGTCATGACATATGCCACTTTTCCCTATTGTTCTTTTTGGTAAATGGAATAGGTTTTTGTTTTGGACTGTGGGCCAGACAAAACAAGACACTTCAAGATGTCACCTTGGGCTTTGAGTAACTGCGACGTGGGAAATGATTCACTTTTTTCTGATGCTTAAAAGAACAAATTTCATTAGCTGTGACAACGAGTGGTTGTAGAAAAGTAGACAACCTTTAAAAGGACTGAGTGGTAATTTCACTCTTATAATTTATGAATTTCAGTTTGATTTTGCATACTTTTGGCACATTAGGTTAAACTTATATATACTGTATAAGGCAGGGGTTCCCAAACTTTGCCATGCCAAGGACCCCCATATAGCATTATCGTCTGGCGGGGACCCCCCTGTTGCAATTTTTTTTTTAAATGATGAGTACATTATGATGGAGAATATGACAAATTAATCATACAGCTTAATACATTTTCTTAATATATATTTGTATTAATAATTAATAATCAGTTATTCTTCTAAACATTTTTTGTATTTATCTTTTGTTTGTCATTCATTGCATTCATTGTGTGTTCTGTTATAAACATTCTTAACACAATATTAAACAGTAATATCAACAGTAAACATATTTTTAAAGTGATTTCTGTCTTTATAATATTATATAATTTTGAACAGTAATATGAACAATTAACATATATTTTTTGCATTTTTGAAAGCTACTTATGCCTTAATAATATTAGATATAATATTCAACAGTAATATTAAAAATAAACATATTTATATTCATATATATAAACAACAATATTTGCTACATCCGTGCTCTCATCCAGCTGCAGAGCGGAATATTCACTAGCTCTCACTTTCTCCAAAAGCTGAGCAGACTCAGTTTCACTCTCAGTAGCGGCAGCTCGATTCTGATTGGCTTGAAGGGCGATCGTGTGATTTAAAAAATATATATATATTAATACATAACAAATATTAAAAGATTGGCATCAAAGGACACATAGATTGATAGATATGCAGTTATTAATAACATCTAAAAA